CAGGTCGTGAGTTGCCTCATTGGTCAGGCGACAAGCCAGCCCCTACTTGAATCTAGGCTAGGAAGTATGTTCCCTCCCCTCAGTTTTATATGACTTCCTTTGACATTATTTAGTTAATGTCACGTAATACCTAGTTAGAGTGTCTTCCCTGTTCTTTCTGTCTCAGAATCTAAAGTAGAAACATTCGGCAAATTTCGTACCACAATAATAGATCTCAATTGAAACTCTCTCAGTTTGTTGTGAGATAAATAGGAATCGTGACTGTGTTTAAACTTCTGCCAACTACTGCATTATCTGATAGGGCATATAACCAAAACTCTGTATGGCGGAAGTTCTATCGGCTCTACGTGGTGGACTTTCTTGGCATACTCGCAGCTAAGTTAGTTACCGACCTCGGGTTCTTTAGGTTGATATGTGACACATGTAAGGAGGCAGCATGGTCATCAATTTCATGACTGTGTTGTCTAACTGCATACTCCTTATTGCACTTGTCAAACAAAAAGAAAAGGAAAGAGCCTAATAGGATTTAATTACCCAAGGCATGCAAATTAGGTTTGATATTTAAATAAGAAGCGATTTCGATAGACAGTTGGATACACTAAAATGTTTCTCGTATTCCCATAGTCTGGGAAACACTTTTGTAGTACGGTATAACCTGACTACAATTTGACCTCAACTGAGAGTAGAACTTGGCCATTGTTAGGGCCATTGTAAAGAATGATGTTCTCTACTTGATTCAGACCATACCGTATGCCTGAATGTACTGAACGTGAAAATGTTACTCTTAATTACCTTTTTTTATTCGATCACTTTTTTTTTCATTTTCCTATGCTATCGTTATATTTGCAATTAGGTGTTTAGTATATTCATCTAACATGGCAAGCACATAGACTGAAGGTCCTTCAATAGTAGCCAAGGGACTCAGTACGTTTCTGACTATTTTTATGATCACCACATTTATAGATTAGCATACCAGTGGTTTCCGTCCACTTATCAGACCTGTGGATCATATTAATTCAGATTGCTATTGACTTTACCAGTTTAAACCCTACGTTCACATGTCGTTTTCGACTTCACGTCGTTTACTTTCACTTAGCATTCCAGAGGCCAAGATCTCATTTAACCTACTTAAAGGCGAATCTTTACTGACGTCATTGTTTACATTTTTCCTCATTAGCATACAACTCAACTCATAGAAGCCGTGGCCGTATATATAAACTAAATGCAAAAGTGGAAAGAGCTGATTAAGATGAGCAATTTGTGCAATTTTCATCTCTTTGCAAGCAATATTGAAGGAAATATCAGCCATCAAAAACTGCGAAATTGCTGGGTGGCAAAAAAGTTAATGAGCCATACATTCTCTGTAAAATTTCGAGTTTTTTCCGAAACCATTCGTGGTATTGGGCTCAAATTTCCACAGATAACTGACACTATTATGCCCTTTCAACAGTCAGAGTTTTTTTTTTTGTTAGCGTCATCAGATAGTGATAAGCATATGTTAATGAGGCAAAAAGTGTAAACAAAGATTCGCCTATACCCTGTTTTATTGGTTTGCATAGTTCTTTTTAGCACAGGTAAGATCGGAATCACCGCTTGACTTTTAAGGCCATGATACAAGCCCTTTTCTTGTCGACTTTACACTTAGTCTAAAAATACCGTAAAATTCCGAAAATAAGCCCCGGGGCTTATATTTTTCAAAGGCCCTTTTTGAGGGGCTTGTTTTTGGAGGGGCTTATATTCGGAGGGGCTAATCTACGGAGGGAAATTTGCGTTTCAAAATCGATTTGGCTAGCCTTATAGTTGGAAGGAAATTTACCGATTTTGCTTTGTTTTACTTTGTATTTTAGATCAATTTCCAAGTGCAAGCCCCCCGGGGGGGGGGGGGGCCTTTTATTGGGGGGGGCGTTTTAAGGGGGGGTTTTTTGGGTTAAAAATTTGGGGGTTTATTTTTGGGGGGGCTTAAAACGGGGGGGGTTTTTTTTCGGAATTTTCGGGTTTAGCCTAAAATTCCCAAAAAATTTTTTTTTTTTCGGGAACCCTGAAAGAACCAACCCTTAATGTTAAATTAATAAAATTTTACTTATATTTGGCTTTGATATTATACTATATTGTGGAAGGAAACTATAACTCTTTCTACTATTTTTCACAATTTCTTTAGTAATTGCCAAGCCCGGGAGTGGAAAGACATTAGAATTTGTGGGTCGAATTTACGGAGATGTTTTGGACTAAAATAAGTGGGAGATTATATATGGAGGGGCTGATAGACGGAGAGGCTGATTTTCGGAATTTTACGGTATAGCCTTAAATTACCGAAAAATATTTATTTTATCCGAGACACTAGAAGAACCCAACCTTAATGTTCAATTCAGTAAAGCAGAGACATGCTCTGTACTTGAAGTGCACTTCTGACTCCTGCGGTGTGAGGGTTTAAAAAGAGCCCATTCCGTAGTACTTTTTTACGTACTCTATTCCATTCTTAACTAAGGTGTGACGAAACCTTCTCACTAGTATAAGTCTTCATGTGGTAATTATGGAAAAGGTTAACTTTCAGACTTAACTACGTGGACAAGATCCTTGATCAATAGAGTCACCATTTAAATGAATTCGATTGTTGCATCTTGTCATAGGGCCGCAGGAGCACAAGCTTGTTACCTTTTGAAAATAAATATCGACTTAGAACGTTGTCGTCAGGACCAGTATCAAAAGTTCGGTCACCATTTTTTCCCCTTCCTGCAATTTTCTCATTCATTATCTCTTTCCTTTTTTTGTAGTCATTAACTGGATAAGAGGGCAAAAGCTGGCAACGATTAACGAATTGCAGAGTAAACCCTCTAGCTAGCGTGTCCCTGGATGCTCTATTAAGATTCGCCCAACCAAGCTAATGGATTTAAAATCTCCCAAAGTTATTATTAGTAAACAAAACCTACTTACTTTACTTTCAGCAGGGCAAAACTATGTAAATGTTCGGCTAGGAAAATCTGGGGTTTGTGAACCACAATAACCTCGATTCCCATGCGCAATCTGTAAAAGGAACTTTAAATAATTTTAGAGAAAACTGAACATAAAAACTGGATGTAAAAGAGAGTAAACGATACCCAAAGAGGTAAATTTCATGTGTCTGAGTTTAATTAACTCTCAAAGACAATACAAAGTTTAATAAATAGGTAGATAAATGGATAGATACGCTAAGGCTCATTTATTTCAAGCATGTTACATTTTTAAAGGGGAGGGAGGCTTGGACAAAGAGTTTGAAATGCAGAGAGAGACAAGGGTTCTTTTAAGCAACGAGTTAATTTCTCTGAATGCATCAATTTGGTAAGACGTTTGTTAAAAGTAATAAGTGGTGAGACGATTGGAGCGTCCAATGTGTAGCCCTGTGTCATCCTTTTCTGAAAGACAGTTGATACTTTCTGGACAGCTGCTGGTGTAACCATCAAGAGATCTAACTTGAGAACCAATGGTTACACAGTCTCCTAGTCGCACGGACGCCTCGTGAAGAGAGGGTCTCCTATTTTGACCCCACAACGCGTACGTGTCCGTGTAGTAGACTTTAAGTCTGTTTGAGATGGACAAGGTTGGTCGCCAGCTAGATTCGACCTCTCGGTCTTCCTCCTTTAGAGAGTGTAGCATATGTGCTTCCTCTGTAAAGGTGCGGAGGCTTCGACCCTTCGGTAAATGATTTCTGTACGATCCCCAGTAACCTTCCTGTTCATGAACACTGGACTTTAACACCTTTAAGCTACGTGGGATACTCGAGGTTTTCTCGCTGCCGATGGCTTTGCCTCGTGAACGCATCCTTATAACCCTGTCTATGTCACTACAATCTGTGTCAGATGATCCACGGCGATTAAAGCGCGTACCGTATGCCCACGAAAGGCTGGTTGCTTTCTTAGTCTTCGGTAAAGAATCATGACCTGAATAAACTCTAGACAGGTGCTTGGGACTTAGCGAGTTGGCGACCGTCAGAAGTCTTCTTCCCTCTTCTTCGTTAGATAAATTAACGATAGTATCGGACTGGTCTCTTCCAAAGCCTTGTTTTTGCATGGTGACGTATTCCCTAGGTGGAGCCAAGCTAGATGATTCAAGTTCTTCTTGAAGATTGCTGGACAAGATTTTCCGAGTTGGTGTCTTCATAGAGTCATGTACGCAGTTGAAGTGGAATTGAGGTACAGTTAGCAAATTCGAATTGGGTATTCTACTTGCTTGGCTTAGATAACGATCTTGCCAAGCTTTCACCGGATTTGGATCGAGCATCTTTACTGCTCGGTAAATGTTTTGATGGGTGTTGAAGTTGCCCTGGTCACAGTTTGCAGACGCAGGGAGGGTTCGTTTGTTGTTTAATCCTTGCTCTAGGTCATCCGAACGCAAACCCTGGAAACACTGAGCTGGAAGTTGGCTTGGAGGACAATCTTTCAAAGGAATTGTGACGCTGGTGGGATCTGGTTTGGTATTTCCTTCGACATCTGGTTCATTCCCGCAACACTTTTGGCACCTAGCTTTAATCCCTGCTCCAAAGATATACATCATAACAATAAATATCATAAGAATACCAACTGCAAGGGAAATAGCAATGGGATACACTTTATCAATATGGGAATGTGAGTTGCTTCTTGACAGTGACGTCGTAGGGAGAAGTATTTCATGGTTTCCACCAGACGTATTTTTATTCCTTGCTGCTGTGAATGAATTAGATGGGTTCCTGGTAGGTTCATACCTTTGACTATCTGGAGACCTGGCATTGACAAATGTGACCACAGTAGAAGATAACGGGGGGAAGTTTTCACTTTTCTTCTTAAAAATCAAGCTTGGAGTTTTCTCTGATGAATTGTGGCATTTCCCTACAGAAATCCCTTTAGACAAGTCATGATGGCTAAAGTTTACTGGTATACTGTTTACATAAACGTCGCGTAGACATCCACAAAAACCAGGGTAGTTACGAGCATTGCGTCCAAAACGCAATATGCTATAACTGGTTTTGTTTACATTTGCAAGGCGTGAACAATCTATTTTATTACCAAGTACATGACTCGACCTTAGTTCATCGTCAATGAAAAGGTTGACGACTCCGACTTCATCAGGTGCATTCAACGTAATTTTATGCCATTGATTGTTATTAAGGGAAGCTCCATCGGAGGTTAAATGAAACAAATCAGCCTTTTGTCTATCAATGCTTTCAAATCGTACTGTCGCTTTTATATTTCCCTCATCGAGAAAAAACAAAGCTGTCAATATTGGAGATGTAATCTTTCCAACAAATGAGTGGGTCTGCGATGTTCGAAATTGGAATTCGAATGAAATATTGCATAGGTTGTTATAGATCACCGTAAACAGAACTTTAGAATTCTTATCGGATATGGAGAGGGTAAAGCTCTTTGCTTCTGTGCAACTTTCAGAAATGTTTCCAAACTGTTGCGCATGAGTAGTATTAAGCGACTGTGCACCTGACGAAGTGACGATATTCATTTCTAGGCCCGCAATACATCCAGAAAAGTTAACAACCTTTGGAAAACAGGTTTCGTTATTATCCAGTATTTGCTGCTTGTTCGAATTGGGGAGACCTGCGAGAAATAACATCTCATATGTTTTCTTTATCCTGTCTTTGACTTTGATCATCGTTGATGAGCCATCCACTTGACAATGAATAAAACTTTTGGAGAGGCGTAAACGAAGCTTGTACCATTTCCCCTCTGAAAGCGATTGCTTACCCTTAACAGCAGCAACTTGCCAAGTTGTGGGGGACTTGCAGTTGTCGATGAGAAAGCACCTAACCATGAAAGAGAATTTGCTATTTAGCACCTTTAAGCAAAAAAGGTACCTAAACTAAAAAACTAATAAACTTAATAGCGATAATTGTATTTCTAACTGAGATATTTAGTTTGTTAATTATACTTAGGATTATGGCATGCATCAGCAATACTTAGGGATGCAAAAAATTAAAGGAACATAATAACTAACAAAAAAGTGGTCGGAATAAGGCAAGAAGAAAAAAAAAATGAACGTAATGAATGTATGAACGAACGATCAACGACAAAGAAACCGACGAACGAGAGTGAACATGGACATGGTCAATTTCTAATGAGGGTCCTGAAGGGGGGGTACCAGTCGCATTTCCCAGCCCATCTTTTTTCGAAATCCCACTTCCCAGTGCTCACATCCCATTCCCACTAGCAGAATGTGGAAAAAATCCCAGTGTTATACGCATACCACCTCTTTTCGACCCAACAAAGACCCAAAAATTCACAAGGATTTACAAAGATCTTCTGAAGATAACAGGATCATTTCAGACAGTAATAAGACTTTCAAGTAGCGAGTTTATAGCGATAAGTCCCTGCCACTTCACATTCCTGCCATTCCTGCCTGCAGGAAATCTGCCGTCCGACTTGTACGACCCCTTCGTCTACTCGATTCATCTATGTCACACATTCTTCGTATATTTTTCTCCATCTGAGTTGTTGAACAATTCAACGGTAAATTCAATTAGCAGTTTTCTGTGTGTATAACTACATTTTTAGTACAAAAGTACTTAATTTCTACGACAACAGTGCGAGTCGTCAATTCTGCTCCCGCCGTAGCTCCCGCCATGTTGTTTGTATCATACAAATACACAAAATACACATGTCATGTAGACTTTTGGTTTTACACGCACCGCTGTACACAAATATCGTTGACCGCAAATCGGGGCCATTCGATCGGGGGAAACCTAGATAAAAATGCTAAAAATTGACTAGAACAAGGTGCATTAGCAATTTTCTGACGTTTCTTAACTCCAGGAAATAAGTGATGTTTCGACTGGTCATGGTTCCAAACTATTTATGCCATTCCCATTTTTGACATTTTATCCCCATTCCCAGTGACCAAATGCCAGAGCCAGGCAACTAATTTGACTAGAATTTTCACCGAACGGTTCAGCTTGTACAGTTAGTATAAATAGAGCAGTCATTGCGCTCTCCTCAAGTTTAAATAGCGTTCACGGCGTTCTCATGAAAGACAATGGCTCTACTGAAAGCGAACGATTCTGCTCATTTCGAAAAAGTTTTTTTTTTTTTTTTTCAAACGAAGGGTAAACAAGAACCCCGCAGCACAGCAAGCTATAGGGGAAGCAGTACTGTCCAGTAGTTAATACCCTTTTTTGTTGTTGTAAGAAGAATTACAGAAATATTCAATTCATAGACGCTTCATGCTATGGAATCCTGAATAAGTTTCTGCCTGATAGGCCATTCTGTTCTAGTACCGCTCCGCTTTACCCAAGAAGAAAACATCCATCGAGCAATATTTTTTGCGTATTTTGCATTTTTTTTTTCGTTCAGAAATTCAGTTCTTTCGTCAGAAATCAGCTATTTGGTCTTCGGATAGTTTTGAACGCCAGTTTTTAGTTCACTCTTGAAAAAAAAAAACAGCTGGGCAGCCGCGCCTGGAATCGAGCTGATCGATGGTTTATTGCCAAAGCAGCCCCGTTTCCGAGCAAATATACCATCGGTCAACCTCGTTTCCAAGCAAATATAACATCGAACCAATGGTATATCGCTTACTTCCAAATTTGATAAACGTCGGTTTGTTATGAAGAATTAGCCGGGGGCCTTGAGCCAATCAGAAACGGTGAAATATTTTGAATGAATAAAAATGTACAATAATCAACCGGTTCCAGTATTACCTTGAATGCAAGATCATGTATAAATTTGTGGGAGACTATTTGATCTTCAATGAAAATCGTTAGAAAAGGAAAGTATATATTGGTGGTGCATAAATGGACAAGAATGAAGTTGAATTATATGGTATAATTTATCTAGCATGAGCTTTATAACTCCGAAATTGCTTATTCTTTGACGGCATTAGTTTCAAATAGACAAAAACATAAAACATATGCAAACAATGAATGCCCAAAGATTTTAATGAATTATCAACGAGAAATATTTCTGCTTTATTCATTCTTTTACTTCATAAGGTTCATACAAGTCTTAGACCTAAGTCTTCGTTAGGAATTTTATTCGCCTCGTTAGGCTTACAAGGAATTCAGTCAAAGTGTTGTCTCAGGATGACAAGATTTCATTTCAGTGTCATGATTGTGTTCGTAATCTACAGCGATACAACAGACACATAAAGAAGATCGTGTTTTTCTTCGATTCCTCGCTAAAACAAATGAGTAACTTACCATTAAAGTAAAGAACTCTCCTTCGCAATTTCGTCCGATTTTCGACTTCAACCCGATACATCAACACAACGAATCGAATGCCGTGTGAAACCACGAGGTCGTAGATTCAATCCTGTGACTGGTAAGAATCTCTATAACAAGTTTATCTCAATTTTCTTTTACAGTATGTTTTCAGAGGGAAATATTATAGACTTTCTTAGAACTCACAAAACTTTAAGCCTACATATGACTCCTGACTTCGCTTCATAGCGTGCTACGCGGCGGGGCCTGGGAACTGTTAACAAACATCCAAACAACGAGCGTCCAAGAAAGAGCCGCAGGAGATCTCATGGGAGAAAAAGGTAGCCGCTCAGTGTGGGCGGCAAATATTTGAAAATATGACGTTAGCTACTTTATATAACATTTTTAAAAATGTTTTACAGTGGAACCGCGATATAACAAAGGGACAAGGGACTGGCAAAAATTTGTTCGTATAACGACGTTCTGTTTCATATAGTTTACTCTATATGGGGGGGGGGGGGGCTAAAAAAAATCATTCATTATTCCGAGGACTTTGTTTTGTTAGATCACATACCATAACCCCCAAGCTTTTAGTTGATAATGCTTGCATACTTGCTTCGGAACACTCAGAAACAGCGAGAGGCCAGGCCTAATTTGATGTTGAAATTGGCTAAAATTTAAGTTCACTCCATTCTTTTCAACATGTTTCGCTTCACTGGTCTTGACCACGTGTTTTTAAAGCCTGCTTACTACCGCACTGGCCTCAGTCAATATTGGCTTAATTATTCCGAAAACTAAATCGAAGCTTTAAAGTAGCATGTCAAACAGTTTTAGCTGTGTGGCATGAAACTTTAACGTTTAGAGCGGGCTATTGAATTCATGTCAGTTCGATATGAGCCGCCGGACAAAGACTTAAATGTACACAAAGTTTTTTTTTTTTTTTTTTTTTTTCTGAAAAGTAAAATCTTCACCCCCCGGTAATCTTTTTTAATTTTTTTTCCACTTGGAAAAGGCCCAGTGTTTTTCGTTAAATTTTCTTCGGGAAATTCTTTTTTTCGGGAAATGGTTCTAACAACACTTTGGTGGACAGAAAATGTACACAAAGTTTTTTTTTTTTTTTTTTTTCCTGAAAGATAATGCTATCCACCCCAGGTATCCTCTGTTAAATCTCTATCCAGACTGGAAAACGCAATGTGTTTTCCGTAAATTATCCACTGGAAAGTCATTTTTTCGGTAGATCGTTCTAATCAACTCTTTGAGAACCGCGACTATTTTTTCAAGTACGGCAATTGATGCCCGTCTTCCTTTTTAAGCTGCCACTGAGTAGTTATAGGGTCCGCAACGTGTTTTCCTCCCTCATATTATTAGACCGTGCCAAGTTAAAGAACTCGGCAATAATTGATTCTCCGGCCGAATGCCTTGTAATTCGATCTCCATGGCCATCTAGTGCAATTGCCTTAAAGTACTTAAATGCCTTAATTCAACGAGGCGACTAATATCAACTCCAAATAAATTAACTCAAGTATTGTATCAGGGTTTCGGTCAAAAACACTTGATACAGCAGCTGCCTGCATGCTGGAGAAGGCGGAGTAAGTAGCCCCTCAACTTTGCAAACGTCAGTCACGCCGACCAACTGGAGCCCGGCGTTTTCTAAACCATTAAAAGAAACAAAACATCCTGCACTTCTGAAAACTGACATTCTCTGTATTTTGAGAGTTTCTGAAGCCGATGCAGATTGGCAATAAAAGAAATGGTCAAAAATGGGATCCAGTCGTTTGAGAAGAACTAAACATATGAGTGCGTGTTCCGAGACCTCATTAGCTTTTGGGCCCCTGAGATAAACATTTTGTAAGTGAACTGGTGGTCTTTAACTTTCAATTAAACAATCAAAAATTCAAGCGAGTAAACATTTATCAGCGTTCTATCTAACAACATCTATTCCATGTTCATTTTTTACTAAATACGTAAGTGGCTTGGTTCGCAGTTTAGCATTTAAAGCTATACAAAGGAAACGCCAGTTTACTTTACTATCGCGTCTTTTGCAACCCGCAGGGAAGTTTTGTTAAAAGAATAGTCACTCTATCGAAATTTTCTTTCAAAGATGGCGAGGTGATGCATGCGTTGCCACGCGCCGATATCATTATAACCACGCCGTACTCGCGACCTTAACGCGTCCTTTCATTCAATTCCAGAGCTTCCAGCTGTTTGAGGGACGCCATATCGCTCAAAAACATTTACCCTTAAGGTTCCCAAGCATTTTATGCTTTAGCGTTTCCGGTAATTTTCTAATCTGCTGTTGTTTCTATAGCAAACGGCTAATGCCTTTTGGCATCCATGAAATATTGTAGCACGTGGTTACATTCCATCAGAGCGTGATGGAAGCTGATATTGCTTTGCAACAGAATTGATCTGATTTAATGGACCAAACTCATTCAATATCTCCATACTGTAAGACGTTTTCGGGAGTTGAAAATACTAGTAAAGGTATTCACTGATGTGTTTATCTGACTTAAATAACTTTAAAAAAACTGATTAAAATAACTGAACTGCCACAAGTCTGGTAAATAATATTTTTCATTTTTTTTGAATTTGTTGTGCATAGCCGAATCTCCTCGCATTGAGTTTACTTTTAAATTACCTCTATTTACAAAAAAGCAAGACATGTAGATGATACTGAACGTAACTGATATGAAAACCAAAAACAAAACTCTGCAGATTGAAAATTACGAGGCAATCATCTTGACGCAAAATTCGTCTCGCGAATCGTATCATCCTTATACCCGGGCCTTATACCAGACAAAACACTTAAACACACGAGGCGTTCTGCACACAGACTATAATTCGCCTCAGGCTATTTTCACACTTCGTTTCTATATCGGATAGCTTTTGCGTCGGCACGAAAACCAGATCGGATACTGGCTTCTGTTCACAAACGGAGATTCGGCGCGATTTCAGTAACGGAGCGAAGCTGCGCGGCGCCGATTTCTAACGGAAGTGGAGAGTCACATAAAGGAGAGGTGTTCAGTTAGTTTCAGGGAAACTCAGCGATGTGTTATGAATTTTCTGCAAGTTTTAAACTGAGTAGCCAACGTGCTGCCAAATCGTGTTTTGTCCCTCTTGTGTCAGTTAACATTGACTTGTTTCGATGCTTTTAAACATTTAATTACAATAGGTAGGTGTCTCGCATTTAGCCAAAATGTTATTTTAAATATTAAAAACACAATGTCGCGCTGATTACCAGAAAGCCATGAAAAACTGACATCCGTTTTTGTCCCTAAAACTGGTGCCAAATGGT